TGGGGAGGGGAGGGGAAAAAGAAAAAGGGGGGCGTGGAGTGATCTTAGGAGTGGGAGGGCGAGGAGAGAAAGGCCGACATTGTTGCCCAGTCGAGCGTGATTGCGCCAAGGCCCATGCCCCTCAGACCTGGTTGGGTGGGGAGGGGAGGGGAAAAAGAAAAAGGGGGGCGTGGAGTGATCTTAGGAGTGGGAGGGCGAGGAGAGAAAGGCCGACATTGTTGCCCAGTCGAGCGTGATTGCGCCAAGGCCCATGCCCCTCAGACCTGGTTGGGTGGGGAGGGGAGGGGAAAAAGAAAAAGGGGGGCGTGGAGTGATCTTAGGAGTGGGAGGGCGAGGAGAGAAAGGCCGACATTGTTGCCCAGTCGAGCGTGATTGCGCCAAGGCCCATGCCCCTCAGACCTGGTTGGGTGGGGAGGGGAGGGGAAAAAGAAAAAGGGGGGCGTGGAGTGATCTTAGGAGTGGGAGGGCGAGGAGAGAAAGGCCGACATTGTTGCCCAGTCGAGCGTGATTGCGCCAAGGCCCATGCCCCTCAGACCTGGTTGGGTGGGGAGGGGAGGGGAAAAAGAAAAAGGGGGGCGTGGAGTGATCTTAGGAGTGGGAGGGCGAGGAGAGAAAGGCCGACATTGTTGCCCAGTCGAGCGTGATTGCGCCAAGGCCCATGCCCCTCAGACCTGGTTGGGTGGGGAGGGGAGGGGAAAAAGAAAAAGGGGGGCGTGGAGTGATCTTAGGAGTGGGAGGGCGAGGAGAGAAAGGCCGACATTGTTGCCCAGTCGAGCGTGATTGCGCCAAGGCCCATGCCCCTCAGACCTGGTTGGGTGGGGAGGGGAGGGGAAAAAGAAAAAGGGGGGCGTGGAGTGATCTTAGGAGTGGGAGGGCGAGGAGAGAAAGGCCGACATTGTTGCCCAGTCGAGCGTGATTGCGCCAAGGCCCATGCCCCTCAGACCTGGTTGGGTGGGGAGGGGAGGGGAAAAAGAAAAAGGGGGGCGTGGAGTGATCTTAGGAGTGGGAGGGCGAGGAGAGAAAGGCCGACATTGTTGCCCAGTCGAGCGTGATTGCGCCAAGGCCCATGCCCCTCAGACCTGGTTGGGTGGGGAGGGGAGGGGAAAAAGAAAAAGGGGGGCGTGGAGTGATCTTAGGAGTGGGAGGGCGAGGAGAGAAAGGCCGACATTGTTGCCCAGTCGAGCGTGATTGCGCCAAGGCCCATGCCCCTCAGACCTGGTTGGGTGGGGAGGGGAGGGGAAAAAGAAAAAGGGGGGCGTGGAGTGATCTTAGGAGTGGGAGGGCGAGGAGAGAAAGGCCGACATTGTTGCCCAGTCGAGCGTGATTGCGCCAAGGCCCATGCCCCTCAGACCTGGTTGGGTGGGGAGGGGAGGGGAAAAAGAAAAAGGGGGGCGTGGAGTGATCTTAGGAGTGGGAGGGCGAGGAGAGAAAGGCCGACATTGTTGCCCAGTCGAGCGTGATTGCGCCAAGGCCCATGCCCCTCAGACCTGGTTGGGTGGGGAGGGGAGGGGAAAAAGAAAAAGGGGGGCGTGGAGTGATCTTAGGAGTGGGAGGGCGAGGAGAGAAAGGCCGACATTGTTGCCCAGTCGAGCGTGATTGCGCCAAGGCCCATGCCCCTCAGACCTGGTTGGGTGGGGAGGGGAGGGGAAAAAGAAAAAGGGGGGCGTGGAGTGATCTTAGGAGTGGGAGGGCGAGGAGAGAAAGGCCGACATTGTTGCCCAGTCGAGCGTGATTGCGCCAAGGCCCATGCCCCTCAGACCTGGTTGGGTGGGGAGGGGAGGGGAAAAAGAAAAAGGGGGGCGTGGAGTGATCTTAGGAGTGGGAGGGCGAGGAGAGAAAGGCCGACATTGTTGCCCAGTCGAGCGTGATTGCGCCAAGGCCCATGCCCCTCAGACCTGGTTGGGTGGGGAGGGGAGGGGAAAAAGAAAAAGGGGGGCGTGGAGTGATCTTAGGAGTGGGAGGGCGAGGAGAGAAAGGCCGACATTGTTGCCCAGTCGAGCGTGATTGCGCCAAGGCCCATGCCCCTCAGACCTGGTTGGGTGGGGAGGGGAGGGGAAAAAGAAAAAGGGGGGCGTGGAGTGATCTTAGGAGTGGGAGGGCGAGGAGAGAAAGGCCGACATTGTTGCCCAGTCGAGCGTGATTGCGCCAAGGCCCATGCCCCTCAGACCTGGTTGGGTGGGGAGGGGAGGGGAAAAAGAAAAAGGGGGGCGTGGAGTGATCTTAGGAGTGGGAGGGCGAGGAGAGAAAGGCCGACATTGTTGCCCAGTCGAGCGTGATTGCGCCAAGGCCCATGCCCCTCAGACCTGGTTGGGTGGGGAGGGGAGGGGAAAAAGAAAAAGGGGGGCGTGGAGTGATCTTAGGAGTGGGAGGGCGAGGAGAGAAAGGCCGACATTGTTGCCCAGTCGAGCGTGATTGCGCCAAGGCCCATGCCCCTCAGACCTGGTTGGGTGGGGAGGGGAGGGGAAAAAGAAAAAGGGGGGCGTGGAGTGATCTTAGGAGTGGGAGGGCGAGGAGAGAAAGGCCGACATTGTTGCCCAGTCGAGCGTGATTGCGCCAAGGCCCATGCCCCTCAGACCTGGTTGGGTGGGGAGGGGAGGGGAAAAAGAAAAAGGGGGGCGTGGAGTGATCTTAGGAGTGGGAGGGCGAGGAGAGAAAGGCCGACATTGTTGCCCAGTCGAGCGTGATTGCGCCAAGGCCCATGCCCCTCAGACCTGGTTGGGTGGGGAGGGGAGGGGAAAAAGAAAAAGGGGGGCGTGGAGTGATCTTAGGAGTGGGAGGGCGAGGAGAGAAAGGCCGACATTGTTGCCCAGTCGAGCGTGATTGCGCCAAGGCCCATGCCCCTCAGACCTGGTTGGGTGGGGAGGGGAGGGGAAAAAGAAAAAGGGGGGCGTGGAGTGATCTTAGGAGTGGGAGGGCGAGGAGAGAAAGGCCGACATTGTTGCCCAGTCGAGCGTGATTGCGCCAAGGCCCATGCCCCTCAGACCTGGTTGGGTGGGGAGGGGAGGGGAAAAAGAAAAAGGGGGGCGTGGAGTGATCTTAGGAGTGGGAGGGCGAGGAGAGAAAGGCCGACATTGTTGCCCAGTCGAGCGTGATTGCGCCAAGGCCCATGCCCCTCAGACCTGGTTGGGTGGGGAGGGGAGGGGAAAAAGAAAAAGGGGGGCGTGGAGTGATCTTAGGAGTGGGAGGGCGAGGAGAGAAAGGCCGACATTGTTGCCCAGTCGAGCGTGATTGCGCCAAGGCCCATGCCCCTCAGACCTGGTTGGGTGGGGAGGGGAGGGGAAAAAGAAAAAGGGGGGCGTGGAGTGATCTTAGGAGTGGGAGGGCGAGGAGAGAAAGGCCGACATTGTTGCCCAGTCGAGCGTGATTGCGCCAAGGCCCATGCCCCTCAGACCTGGTTGGGTGGGGAGGGGAGGGGAAAAAGAAAAAGGGGGGCGTGGAGTGATCTTAGGAGTGGGAGGGCGAGGAGAGAAAGGCCGACATTGTTGCCCAGTCGAGCGTGATTGCGCCAAGGCCCATGCCCCTCAGACCTGGTTGGGTGGGGAGGGGAGGGGAAAAAGAAAAAGGGGGGCGTGGAGTGATCTTAGGAGTGGGAGGGCGAGGAGAGAAAGGCCGACATTGTTGCCCAGTCGAGCGTGATTGCGCCAAGGCCCATGCCCCTCAGACCTGGTTGGGTGGGGAGGGGAGGGGAAAAAGAAAAAGGGGGGCGTGGAGTGATCTTAGGAGTGGGAGGGCGAGGAGAGAAAGGCCGACATTGTTGCCCAGTCGAGCGTGATTGCGCCAAGGCCCATGCCCCTCAGACCTGGTTGGGTGGGGAGGGGAGGGGAAAAAGAAAAAGGGGGGCGTGGAGTGATCTTAGGAGTGGGAGGGCGAGGAGAGAAAGGCCGACATTGTTGCCCAGTCGAGCGTGATTGCGCCAAGGCCCATGCCCCTCAGACCTGGTATACGGCGAGGGGCGAGGGGAAGGAAGGTTGACATGGTAACCAAAACGAGGCTGTGGCGCCGAGACCCATGCCAATCAGAAGACCTGGAAGGGGATGGAGGAAGGGGGAGAACGAGGAAAAAGGAGAGTAGTGATATTGGGAATGGTAGTAACGCCGACACGGTAGCTTGGTCAAGAGAGATTGCACCAAGTACCATGCCCCTCAGACCTTGGGGGCGGAAGAAAGGGTGGGGGGGGAGGAAGGCTGGTCAATATGCTGTCTCAGACAAGAGTGATGACGCCCAGCCGCCCAACCCATGTTCCTCAGACCTGGCAAGGCAGGGTGAAATGGATGGGGAGATGTTGTGGGGGAAAATACTCTGAGGAAATGTGAGGTGAAATGGGCGGCAAGGCGCGAGGAGAGGAAGGCGGCCATGGTGGCCCAGTCGAGGGTGACTGCTGCACCCAGACCCATGCCCCTTGGCCCTGGGGAATAAGGAGGGGGGGAAACAGAGGGCGGGGATGGTGTGATGGGGAGGCAAAGGATGAGCGAGGAGAAACCAGAGACAGGGAGAGCAGAAACGGGAGTAAGGAGGGGAGAAAGGAGGCAAAACAGGCACTAGGAAGGGAGAACGAGAGCGCCGCAGAGAGATGGGGGGAAGGGGGGAGACTGGGGGGAGGGGAGAGTGGGGCAGGGTGAGACAGGAGACGAAGCACCCATCAGAGCCGAGTTGCTGTGCGGTGACAGAGGAAAGTAAGACCCAGCCAGTGCGAGGGGGAAGGAATGGGGAGAGAAGGGGGAGAATGGGAGACGAAGAATTCACCTGAGCCGAGCTGCTGTGCGGTGATAGAGGAAGGCCGGACCCAGCAGACCCAGGAGAGGGGAGGAAAGGGGTAGGGAGAGGAAGAGAGGGAGGGGGAAAGGAGGCTGGGCGAAGGGGAACGACGGCTAAGCACCCACCTGAGCCGAGTTGCTGTGCAGTGATGGAGGAGGGCCAGAGCCAGCAGACCCAGAAGAGGGGAGGAAGGGGGAGGGGGGAGTAAATGGGCAGATCTAGAAGCAAGGAGACAAAGCCCCCACCTGAGCCGAGCTGCTGCGCGGTGATGGAGGCGGGCCAGACCCAGCAGACCCAGGAGAGGCAGGAGACGATGGGGATGAGGTAGCCGGGCACGAGGTACCAGCAGAAGGAGAGAGCTGTGATGAGGAAGAAGAAATGCGCCCGTGTCAGCATGCCGCGCGCTGGCGTGTCTGACTCATGGAGGGTTCTGGTGGGAGGGAAAGGGGGGAGGGGAGGGGAGGGAGGAGGAGGGAAGGAGAGGGGGAGGGGGGGGAGGGGTGTGGTTTGTGGAGTTGCGTAAAGCAGCAGGAGTGGGGCAGGAGGGTGCTGGTGGGAGGGGAGGAGGGGGTTGTGGGGTGGAATGGGGCGGGGTGGGGTGGAATGGGGTGGGGTGGGGGTGGGGTGGGGTTGTGGAGTAGAGGCACCTGGAGTGGAGCTACAAAAGGTGGTGGGGGGATGACGAGGAGGAAGAAGAGCGTGCGTGTCAGCATGCTGCGCACTCGTCTGGTGTGTCTCACTCGTGCGTTGTGTCTCACTCGTGCGTTGTCTCACTCGTGCGTTGTGTCTCACTCGTGCGTTGTGTCTCACTCGTGCGTTGTGTCTCACTCGTGCAGTTGTGTCTCACTCGTGCGTTGTGTCTCACTCGTGCGTTGTGTCTCACTCGTGCGTTGTGTCTCACTCGTGCGTTTGTGTCTCACTCGTGCGTTGTGTCTCCCTCGTGCGTTGTGTCTCACTCGTGCGTTGTCTCACTCGACTTGTGTCTCACTCGTGCGTTGTGTCTCACTCGTGCGTTGTGTCTCACTCGTGCGTTGTGTCTCACTCGTGCGTTGTGTCTCACTCGTGCGTTGTGTCTCACTCGTGCGTTGTGTCTCACTCGTGCGTTGTGTCTCACTCGTGCGTTGTGTCTCACTCGTGCGTTGTGTCTCACTCGTGCGTTGTGTCTCACTCGTGCGTTGTGTCTCACTCGTGCGTTGTGTCTCACTCGTGCGTTGTGTCTCACTCGTGCGTTGTGTCTCACTCGTGCGTTGTGTCTCACTCGTGCGTTGTGTCTCACTCGTGCGTTGTGTCTCACTTGTGCGTTGTGTCTCACTCGTGCATTGTGTCTCACTCGTGCGTTGTGTCTCACTCGTGCGTTGTGTCTCACTCGTGCGTTGTGTCTCACTCGTGCGTTGTGTCTCACTCGTGCGTTGTGTCTCACTCGTGCGTTGTGTCTCACTCGTGCGTTGTGTCTCACTCGTGCGTTGTGTCTCACTCGTGCGTTGTGTCTCACTCGTGCGTTGTGTCTCACTCGTGCGTTGTGTCTCACTCGTGCGTTGTGTCTCACTCGTGCGTTGTGTCTCACTCGTGCGTTGTGTCTCACTCGTGCGTTGTGTCTCACTCGTGCGTTGTGTCTCACTCGTGCGTTGTGTCTCACTCGTGCGTTGTGTCTCACTCGTGCGTTGTGTCTCACTCGTGCGTTGTGTCTCACTCGTGCGTTGTGTCTCACTCGTGCGTTGTGTCTCACTCGTGCGTTGTGTCTCACTCGTGCGTTGTGTCTCACTCGTGCGTTGTGTCTCACTCGTGCGTTGTGTCTCACTCGTGCGTTGTGTCTCACTCGTGCGTTGTGTCTCACTCGTGCGTTGTGTCTCACTCGTGCGTTGTGTCTCACTCGTGCGTTGTGTCTCACTCGTGCGTTGTGTCTCACTCGTGCGTTGTGTCTCACTCGTGCGTTGTGTCTCACTCGTGCGTTGTGTCTCACTCGTGCGTTGTGTCTCACTCGTGCGTTGTGTCTCACTCGTGCGTTGTGTCTCACTCGTGCGTTGTGTCTCACTCGTGCGTTGTGTCTCACTCGTGCGTTGTGTCTCACTCGTGCGTTGTGTCTCACTCGTGCGTTGTGTCTCACTCGTGCGTTGTGTCTCACTCGTGCGTTGTGTCTCACTCGTGCGTGTCTCACTCGTGCGTTGTGTCTCACTCGTGCGTTGTGTCTCACTCGTGCGTTGTGTCTCACTCGTGCGTTGTGTCTCACTCGTGCGTTGTGTCTCACTCGTGCGTTGTGTCTCACTCGTGCGTTGTGTCTCACTCGTGCGTTGTGTCTCACTCGTGCGTTGTGTCTCACTCGTGCGTTGTGTCTCACTCGTTGTGTCTCACTCGTGCGTTGTGTCTCACTCGTGCGTTGTGTCTCACTCGTGCGTTGTGTCTCACTCGTGCGTTGTGTCTCACTCGTGCGTTGTGTCTCACTCGTGCGTTGTGTCTCACTCGTGCGTTGTGTCTCACTCGTGCGTTGTGTCTCACTCGTGCGTTGTGTCTCACTCGTGCGTTGTGTCTCACTCGTGCGTTGTGTCTCACTCGTGCGTTGTGTCTCACTCGTGCGTTGTGTCTCACTCGTGCGTTGTGTCTCACTCGTGCGTTGTGTCTCACTCGTGCGTTGTGTCTCACTCGTGCGTTGTGTCTCACTCGTGCGTTGTGTCTCACTCGTGCGTTGTGTCTCACTCGTGCGTTGTGTCTCACTCGTGCGTTGTGTCTCACTCGTGCGTTGTGTCTCACTCGTGCGTTGTGTCTCACTCGTGCGTTGTGTCTCACTCGTGCGTTGTGTCTCACTCGTGCGTTGTGTCTCACTCGTGCGTTGTGTCTCACTCGTGCGTTGTGTCTCACTCGTGCGTTGTGTCTCACTCGTGCGTTGTGTCTCACTCGTGCGTTGTGTCTCACTCGTGCGTTGTGTCTCACTCGTGCGTTGTGTCTCACTCGTGCGTTGTGTCTCACTCGTGCGTTGTGTCTCTCACTCGGTGGCGTTGTGTCTCACTCGTGCGTTGTGTCTCACCTCGACGCGTGTGTCTCACTCGTGCGGTGTGTCCTCACTCGTGCGTATTGTGTCTCACTCGTGCGTTGTGTCTCACTCAGTGCGTTGTGTCTCACTCGTGCGTTGTGTCTCACTCGTGCGTTGTGTCTCACTCGTGCGTTGTGTCTCACTCGTGCGTTGTGTCTCACTCGTGCGTTGTGTCTCACTCGTGCGTTGTGTCTCACTCGTGCGTTGTTGTCTCACTCGTGCGTTGTGTCTCACAGTCGTTGCGTTGTGTCTCACTCGTGCGTTTGTGTCTCACTCGTGCGTTTGTGTCTCACTCGTGCGTTGTGTCTCACTCGTATGCGTTGTGTCTCACTCGTGCGTTGTGTCTCACTCGTGCGTTGTGTCTCACTCGTGCGTTGTGTCCTCACTCGTGCGTTGTGTCTCACTCGTGCGTTGTGTCTCACTCGTGCGTTGTGTCTCACTCGTTGCGTTGTGTCTCACTCGTGCGTTGTGTCTCACTCGTGCGTTGTGTCTCACTCGTGCGTTGTGTCTCACTCGTGCGTTGTGTCTCACTCGTGCGTTGTGTCTCACTCGTGCGTTGTGTCTCACTCGTGCGTTGTGTCTCACTCGTGCGTTGTGTCTCACTCGTGCGTTGTGTCTCACTCGTGCGTTGTGTCTCACTCGTGCGTTGTGTCTCACTCGTGCGTTGTGTCTCACTCGTGCGTTGTGTCTCACTCGTGCGTTGTGTCTCACTCGTGCGTTGTGTCTCACTCGTGCGTTGTGTCTCACTCGTGCGTTGTGTCTCACTCGTGCGTTGTGTCTCACTCGTGCGTTGTGTCTCACTCGTGCGTTGTGTCTCACTCGTGCGTTGTGTCTCACTCGTGCGTTGTGTCTCACTCGTGCGTTGTGTCTCACTCGTGCGTTGTGTCTCACTCGTGCGTTGTGTCTCACTCGTGCGTTGTGTCTCACTCGTGCGTTGTGTCTCACTCGTGCGTTGTGTCTCACTCGTGCGTTGTGTCTCACTCGTGCGTTGTGTCTCACTCGTGCGTTGTGTCTCACTCGTGCGTTGTGTCTCACTCGTGCGTTGTGTCTCACTCGTGCGTTGTGTCTCACTCGTGCGTTGTGTCTCACTCGTGCGTTGTGTCTCACTCGTGCGTTGTGTCTCACTCGTGCGTTGTGTCTCACTCGTGCGTTGTGTCTCACTCGTGCGTTGTGTCTCACTCGTGCGTTGTGTCTCACTCGTGCGTTGTGTCTCACTCGTGCGTTGTGTCTCACTCGTGCGTTGTGTCTCACTCGTGCGTTGTGTCTCACTCGTGCGTTGTGTCTCACTCGTGCGTTGTGTCTCACTCGTGCGTTGTGTCTCACTCGTGCGTTGTGTCTCACTCGTGCGTTGTGTCTCACTCGTGCGTTGTGTCTCACTCGTGCGTTGTGTCTCACTCGTGCGTTGTGTCTCACTCGTGCGTTGTGTCTCACTCGTGCGTTGTGTCTCACTCGTGCGTTGTGTCTCACTCGTGCGTTGTGTCTCACTCGTGCGTTGTGTCTCACTCGTGCGTTGTGTCTCACTCGTGCGTTGTGTCTCACTCGTGCGTTGTGTCTCACTCGTGCGTTGTGTCTCACTCGTGCGTTGTGTCTCACTCGTGCGTTGTGTCTCACTCGTGCGTTGTGTCTCACTCGTGCGTTGTGTCTCACTCGTGCGTTGTGTCTCACTCGTGCGTTGTGTCTCACTCGTGCGTTGTGTCTCACTCGTGCGTTGTGTCTCACTCGTGCGTTGTGTCTCACTCGTGCGTTGTGTCTCACTCGTGCGTTGTGTCTCACTCGTGCGTTGTGTCTCACTCGTGCATTGTGTCTCACTCGTGCGTTGTGTCTCACTCGTGCGTTGTGTCTCACTCGTGCGTTGTGTCTCACTCGTGCGTTGTGTCTCACTCGTGCGTTGTGTCTCACTCGTGCGTTGTGTCTCACTCGTGCGTTGTGTCTCACTCGTGCGTTGTGTCTCACTCGTGCGTTGTGTCTCACTCGTGCGTTGTGTCTCACTCTGCGTTGTGTCTCACTCGTGCGTTGTGTCTCACTCGTTGCGTTGTGTCTCACTCGTTGCGTTGTGTCTCACTCGTGCGTTGTGTCTCACTCGTGCGTTGTGTCTCACTCGTGCGTTGTGTCTCACTTCGTGCGTTGTGTCTCACTCGTGCGTTGTGTCTCACTCGTGCGTTGTGTCTCACTCGTGCGTTGTGTCTCACCTCGTGCGTTGTGTCCTCACTCGTGCGTTGTGTCTCACTCGTGCTTGTGTCTCACTCGTGCGTTGTGTCTCACTCGTGCGTTGTGTCTCACTCGTGCGTTGTGTCTCACTCGTGCGTTGTGTCCTCACTCGTGCGTTGTGTCTCACTCGTGCGTTGTGTCTCACTCGTGCGTTGTGTCCTCACTCGTGCGTTTGTGTCTCACTCGTGCGTTGTGTC